GGGGGGAGGAAGATGTGGGTACGTACTAGTTGCTGGACGAACAGACACCACCGACAGTGTCGGCGGCTGTAGACTGGCAGTCTAGGATGCAGCTACTCAAGGTTATGGTTGAAGTTGAGGCAGCTGCAGTTGCGGTGGTTGTAGCAGAAGATCCTCCGCACTGTGAGCCACGATAGGTGTGGAAGGATCCGATATCATCCGAGCAGCTCCTTGTCTCTATATTAGCATGTGCAAACGGCTACACTAAGCGTGGTTTGTTCTTACTTTTCCAGGCAAGATTGCACATCGATGGGGAAGTCGCCGTTGTTGCAGTAACAGCTGGTCTGATTGCTGTGGAATTATCATGAGATGCTTGCTCGAAGAAGCAGATGTACCTGTATTCAACTTACTAGTTGCTGGTGCTGCAGTCGCTTGCGGCAGCCTCGGCTTGGCAGTTGAGGATGCACTCACTCAAGCTTAGCACTGTCAGTATAGACACAGAGTTAATTGTGGCAACTAGATGATACTCACCCATTGACCGCCGAGACAGCCCCGAGGAGTAGAAGCGAGATAGTTAACTTCATTGGGGAATACGGTGTGGTCTGATTCGGAGATATCTCTTGAGGGAAGAGCCAAACAACTACTTGAATAGGACTTGCAAGGTTATGAACTCGATAAGCACCTTAAACGGCCTGTTTCTTCGTCAAGGTGATGAGAGGACGCGAGAATTGAACTTGTTCGAAGTGCTCTGGTATCCAGTTCCAAGTCGCTTTGAGGCCGCTATATAGTGCTCATTCTCGGAAAGAGCAATCCGAAAACGAAGTCGTCGTGGAGCTCCATCTCGCACCCCCTCATCTCTACAGCCAATGTCAATTGACATCCTATATTGCATCCAAGACACGGGTCAAGGATGGAATTCTGGGCATCCGTCATGCGCTGCACAGCCGTACGGAGAAGGAAAATGCCAGTGAGAGTGGTGTGAGCTCGTAGACTTCTCAACCGAGATATGGAAGGACCAGCATCGGTTGCAGGGGTATCCTCTATGCGGTCAGATGTGGTTGGATGAATTGGAAGGGATGCCAAGCGCAGGATGATAGTACTTCAGGGCTGAGTGGGACTGGCGAGCCAACCCACGAGACACCTGGATCAGATAAGATAAATCAGCTGCTTGAATTGGTCCGGAACATCAACTCCGATGCACGGTCAGCATTGAGTACCCTTATTGGGAGCCATTACATCCACGGATTGCTGCCGGTCGTTCCGATTTCAGCCAACAACGTCCCCCGCGACCGAGTGGGTCAATAATACCCGGGTTGATGTATCCTACCGACTGAGGTTGGCATCCGATGCATTGTACCCTTGATATCGTTATCTCCGAGGCCCGATCCTGCTTCCCGATTTTTGGATGGGACCGCGAGAGACCGAAAGGACCACCCGGCTAATTCGCAGGCAGTATGCCTGTTGGCCGTCGTATGTGCCGTGATGGCGACATCAAGTGACATGTTCCAACCTATGGTCGGGTAATACTCCTACTACCTCCATGTGACTCTAATGTCGAAGCGCTTGTTCATATTTCCCCTTCCATGCCTCTAGTCTCAGCTGTGTGAAGTGGAGACCACGTCATCTCGGGCTTCTGTCACTGAGAGACCCAAATCTGATCTACTTCATAAGGAGCTTGGCATGACTTCTATTTCAACGGGGGTTTCCTTTCCTGAAATATTGCCTCAGGCATCCAGGTGGTGGCTATTCGACAGTCATGAAGCTCGATACCAAGCGGCTAGCTTGGGTGTTATTGCCATGGACGGTGGCATCCAGTCCATTCCCAGCCGAAGAAAGAATTGCTGTGCCAGATGGCTCTACTTATGCCAACCACATCTTCAACGCTCTGCATAACTCCATGAAGATGTTTGGCAGCGTCATGCAGCACAATGGGATGTCCGTCTTCATTGCCACGGTACCTGAAGGAACGGAATTCTACCACGGTACTTCCAGTGCATATCGTATCAACGGAACTGAGTGGCTGGCTTTTGAGCCGGAGCATGCCATGGCTTTTGCCCATCCTGGTCGGATTAGTCGTCAACAACCCTCTAGGCCTAACAACCCGCCACTTGACGATGAGGAACGGGGCAGTACGGAGAAAAGCCATGATAAGAATTGGAAAGGATCAGTTAAACATGCACATGAATTCAAATCGGAAACTGGCAGCTGGGTGCAAGATCATGCTCGGCACCGCGAACATGTGAAACCATATCGTGCAGGTTCTCGCGATAAGCATCATAAAGAGTCGGTTCACCAGCAATGTGGCTCTGATTCGGACAACAGCGGCTGGACTCAGGATCATACCCGGCACCGCGAACATGTGAAACCGTATCGTGCAGATTCTCGTGGTCACGCAAAACACCACAAGGTTGACATGACTACTGAAAGCACGGCTCACCGAGGCCTTTTCACTCGCCAATGGAAGAGATTGCAGTCAATGGTTCAGTATTTCCTAACTGATCAAGGGGAATCCCACAGAGTAGTGGTGGAAGGTCTCAGCTCGCAAGCTCTTCCTAAATCTCACGATGGTCACCATAACAAGCCTGGCCACCAGAGTCAGTCAGACATTGAGGAGCATCAAGAACAGTCATCTTGCATGCCCACCGAACCTACAGCTGAAGAACAGACGGGATATTTTCACACCTATCGCACTAAGCGTGAACTACGTCTAGTCTACTTCGATGGACAGTCGGCTGCAAAATCTCTCAAGGGTACCCTCGACATGCAGGATATTGTCCTTCGAAACGCATCCCTCTTCGATGGCAGCCCAGCAGAGGGTGACAACCTGCGTGCCGAATATCTGTGTGCCATGGCCCGCGATCAGTGGGACAATCGTATTGACGGATTCATTCGAATGGTCGGTGGCTTCGAGGTCATTCTCTGCTCTTTCGCCGATAACCTCGATGTTGTGAGCATCCTCAGCACCTACCCATCGCGCAATGGCGACGGAGGATCCCACCTCAGCTATGCCCGGGCACTTGCTACCCGGTTCGACGGCATTGGGGGTGGCAGAGTGTCCATCAACTACGACGACTTTGTCACGATGTTTGCATACCCGGACGCAATGTACTTTGACGAGCAGGGCCTTCCCCGGGTGGTCGACGATGCTGCAAAGCTGGGACCTGTACGCGCACACATTGACCGACTAGTCAGAGGACCTGACGCGACAACCCCCGGTATCAACTGGCAAAACGTCGTCGACATGATCATGACCAGATACCAATACCGCATTAGTCTGGCATTGTCTCCAGCCATTTCCACTCACCATGAACTTCGGCGTGAGCTCCACCTCGCTATCGAGCCATTTATCAACGCGCATGCGCGCAACTCGACTGCAGAGATTGAGCGTTGTGCCAAGCAGTTCTGGGTCTCAGGCGCTGATACTACCACTGTTCCGGCTCAAGCAGTTTCTCGGGTCTCGGAGCGATTGTGCTCGAGTTTGGTTGCTGGCGCGAGCGCAGAGACTTATGAGGAGGGCATTGCAATTATTGAGCATCTAAAGCACTACTTGGATTGGGCGGTCTTCAGGGAGTGCAACAAGTGCAAGATAGACGAGGTTTGTCAGCTCCCTATTTGGCCCTCTGGCTCCAAGGAGGATTTCGTTCGGCCGCGGTGTGGTACCGGTCTGGCTCATGGCTCGGGCGGCTATTGGGACATGATGGGCAAAATCCGTCAGCATTAGTATGATCCTATTGTTGTGTCTGGAACAAGGGGACTGGTATAGGTGGCCATCGTGTACATCGCATCGCGCTTGTCATCCTAGCAGTATCTCATTTTATTGAAGGTTGTCTGGCTGGGTCGTTTCGTAGGCTTGGCCATTTCTGGGTGGACGCCCAATGACGCATCTCTACTATGCATATAATATAGCTGTAAACCTTTGAATATCCCAGTATGTGTAGAATGGGGTTGGTAACTTCGTGGTTCTTTTCGCTCGAGGTATAGTTGTTGTCGTGTTGTAACACTAGTCCCAATCATGCTGTTGGGTGAGAGTAAACCAGTAAACTCGCACGAGGGCCGATCATTGAATTTTGGGGCAACACATCCACAATATAGCTGAGGCGATAAGTGCTATGTCTGAAGTGCCGCGATGGAGTTCTGCGCTTGATTGATGATAGTGTTGACAGGCTGAGGTTGAGTGGTGAAGAGCAAGTAGTAGGAGCAGCGGTACCCGTAAAATATATTCAGCCAACCTGCCCCTGACCAACAAGTGGTAACAGCACCCAACACTCAAGTACATCGCTCATTCTAGCTCGTGACTGTAGCCCGGGGGATGCCAAAGCTCAATTATGTGCAAACAGAGCATTTCCTACTCCCCAGTTGTATGGATCTTATATGACGAATGTCACGATACGGCTACTTGCTCTCTGGAAACAAGATGACATTGAACAAGACTCATAGACCTTAAAGATCAGCCGTGTTTTAACAAGCAACGCCCGGGTGGTCTAGTGGTATGATTCTCGCTTAGGGATACAAACCCAAGCATATCTGCGAGAGGTCCCGCGTTCGATCCGCGGCTCGGGCCGTTTCATTTTTTGGTTTTCTCTTTTTGCACCCCATAGCGAGAAAAGGAAGAAAGGACATAACAAGAAAGATAGATAGATAAATAAATAAATAATATGAGGAAACCACATGCTTACTACCTTCTTTATTAACATTTTAGTTCTTCCTCCCCAAAGCTCGGACCGCTGTAATATGCAGCTTCATTAGCAGTACCACCCGTAGGAACCGTCGTTCCTCCGTTCATTGTACCCATGTACTGCGCATCGCTACATCTGTAGCAGCTACGGTTCTAATCGATCAAAGCGTCTGAGTATCATATAGAAGTATTTGCATTATAGAACATAGGATATTCACATAGAAAAATATCAGCACAGATCGTAACCGCCAACCAACAAACGCCCTCGAATGACTCGTCGCTCCCAACGGGCTAGAATACAATGATAGTCATAAAATCAACCCGCGTGGTTGAAGCCTTCTTGCTGCCAATCGTCTCCATGGAGCTGCTGGCCAGTGTAGCCACCGCTACCGCTGCCTCCGCCGGCCATCGCTGCTGCAGCGGCTGCACCAAGGCTTGCGCTGCTATGCTTCTCGATCTCCATGGTACTCATCATATACAGCATGACGAATATCAAGATGTGTAGAGCAAAGCAGTAGCCCGCAAAAAGATTCCGGCTCGTGCGGTTAGCGAGAATGATCCGGGTAAGGGAGAATACGATTCGCTCCGGTAGGCTCATGCGCTTGTATGCACGCGTAGATTCACGGCCCCGGAAGGCGGCAAATGGTGAGATCTGAGCCTCATACGCGGATTGATAACGATCAAGGGAAAGCCCTGACGGCGTGTCCGCTGATGGGTGGATGGACGAGGCATTGGGCCTGCTTGCGTAAGCAGAGGCGGACGATGATGCGCCTGGGCCACGGTTGTATGTTGAGACATAGCGTGTCTTCTCATACAGGCTGAGGTTGTCTTTTTGTAGAGAAGCCACCTCTTGCCTCAAGGACTTCACTGTGCCGTACAGCTTCGACAGCTCTTCCTCCAGCTCAGCGT